TGAGCAGTGTCTCGCATGTAGGCTTTTTGATGTGGCCCCTTACCTGTTGGCTATATGATATAAACATTAACCTATAGGCTATTTGTACAAGCCCTTTAGCTGTAGGCTATATTATATAAACATTAACCCATAGGCTATTGGTACAGGCCCTTTACCTGTAGGCTATATGATATAAACTTTAACCTATAGGCTATTGGTATAGGCCCTTTACCTGTAGGCTATATGATATAAACTTTAACCTATAGGCTATTTGTACAGGTCCATTACCTGTAGGCTATATGATATAAACTTTAACCTGTAGGCTATTTGTACAGGCCCTTTACCTGTAGGCTATATGATATAAATGTTAACCTATAGGCTATTTGTACAGGCCCTTTACCTGTAGGCTATATGATATAAACTTTAACCTATAGGCTATTTGTGCAGGCCCATTACCTGTAGGCTATATTATATAAACGTTAAGCTATAGGCTATTTGTACAAGCCCTTTAGCTGTAGGCTATATGATATAAACTTTAACCTATAGGCTATTTGTACAGGCCCATTACCTGTAGGCTATATTATATAAACATTTAGCTATAGGCTATTTGTACAGGCCCTTTACCTGTAGGCTATATGATATAAACATTAACCCATAGGCTATTGGTACAGGCCCTTTACCTGTAGGCTATATTATATCAACATTAACCTATAGGCTGTTTGTACAGGCCCTTTACCTGTAGGCTATATTATATAAACATTAACCTATAGGCTATTTGTACAGGCCCATTACCTGTAGGCTATATTATATAAACGTTTAGCTATAGGCTATTTGTACAGGCCCATTACCTGTAGGCTATATGATATAAACATTAACCCATAGGCTTTTGGTACAGGCCCTTTACCTGTAGGCTATATGATATAAACTTTAACCTATAGGCTATTTGCACAGGCCCTTTACCTGTAGGCTATATTATATAAACATTTAGCTATAGGCTATTTGTACAGGCCCATTACCTGTAGGCTATATGATATAAACTTTAACCTATAGTCTATTGGTACAGGCCCTTTACCTGTAGGCTATATGATATAAACTTTAACCTATAGGCTATTTGTACAGGCCCTTTACCTGTAGGCTATATGATATAAACTTTAACTTATAGGTTATTTGTACAGGCCCATTACCTGTAGGCTATATGATATAAACTTTAACCTATAGGCTATTTGTACAGGTCCATTACCTGTAGGCTATATTATATAAACATTAAGCTATAGGCTATTTGTACAGGCCCTTTACCTGTAGGCTATATGATATAAACATTAACCCATAGGCTATTTGTACAGGCCCACTATCTGTAGGCTATATGATATAAACTTTAACCTATAGGCTATTGGTACAGGCCCTTTACCTGTAGGCTATATTATATAAACGTTTAGCTGTAGGCTATTTGTACAGGCCCTTTACCTGTAGGCTATATTATATCAACTTTAACCTATAGGCTATTTGTACAGGCCCATTACCTGTAGGCTATATTATATCAACTTTAACCTACAGGTTATTTGTACAGACCCTTTACCTGTAGGCTATATTATATAAACATTAAGCTATAGGCTATTTGTACAGGCCCTTTAGCTGTAGGCTATATGATATCAACTTTAACCTATAGGCTATTTGTACAGGCCCATTACCTGCAGGCTATATTATATCAACTTTAACCTATAGGTTATTTGTACAGGCCCTTTACCTGTAGGCTATATTATATAAACATTAAGCTATAGGCTATTTGTACAGGCCCTTTAGCTGTAGGATATATTATTTAAACGTTAACCCATAGGCTATTGGTACAGGCCCTTTACCTGTAGGCTATATTATATAAACGTTAAGCTATAGGCTATTTGTACAGGCCCTTTACCTGTAGGCTATATTATATAAACGTTAAGCTATAGGCTATTTGTACAGGCCCTATACCTGTAGGCTATATGATATAAACGTTAACCCATAGGCTATTTGTACAGGCCCATTACCTGTAGGCTATATTATATAAACGTTAACCCATAGGCTATTTGTACAGGCCCTATACCTGTAGGCTATATGATATAAACTTTAACCTATAGGCTATTGGTACAGGCCCTTTACCTGTAGGCTATATGATATAAACTTTAACCTATAGGCTATTGGTACAGGCCCTTTACCTGTAGGCTATATGATATAAACTTTAACCTATAGGCTATTTGTACAGGCCCTTTACCTGTAGGCTATATGATATAAACATTAATAGGCTATATTATATCAACTTTAACCTATAGGCTGTTTGTACAGGCCCTTTACCTGTAGGCTATATTATATAAACATTAACCCATAGGCTATTGGTACAGGCCATTTACCTGTAGGCTATATGATATAAACTTTAACCTATAGGCTATTTGTACAGGCCCTTTACCTGTAGGCTATATGATATAAACATTAATAGGCTATATTATATCAACTTTAACCTATAGGCTGTTTGTACAGGCCCTTTACCTGTAGGCTATATTATATAAACATTAACCCATAGGCTATTGGTACAGGCCCTTTACCTGTAGGCTATATGATATCAACTTTAACCTATAGGCTATTTGTACAGGCCCTTTACCTGTAGGCTATATGATATAAACATTAATAGGCTATATTATATCAACTTTAACCTATAGGCTGTTTGTACAGGCCCTTTACCTGTAGGCTATATGATATAAACATTAATAGGCTATATTATATCAACTTTAACCTATAGGCTGTTTGTACAGGCCCTTTACCTGTAGGCTATATTATATAAACATTAACCCATAGGCTATTGGTACAGGCCCTTTACCTGTAGGCTATATGATATCAACTTTAACCTATAGGCTATTTGTTATTTAAAATTAGGATTACAGATTTAATTTTAATTACTATTTTAGGGTTACGGTTAGTGATTTTAATGGTTGAAGTTTAAATAAGTGATTTAAAATTCAAGGATTTTAGAATTAAGGATTTTAGGATTAAAGACTTTATGGTTAAGGATATCTGATTTTAGACTTAAACATTTTAGGTTTTGTGTTCCATAGAAAATGGCTGCCCTAATCGCTATCTTGGGAATTAATATAAGGCCACCACATATCCTGTACATCTGTACATAGTGTTTGCAGGTTATAATTGCATTTAATTAGACTTGGAGATTCAGTTTGGCTGAACTTCCAAAACAAATGTATCCTATATAACGAATCAACCAAATAGCGGAAGGTGAGCTGTTTTGGTTTAGTTTGAATTCGGGTTTGGTGGCATGCTTAAGTTGTTGAGCACAATTTGAGTGTGCTGTGTGGTATATTTTTTCCTTAATTTTAGAGCTTCTTTGGTAACTTTTGGTAAAGCTCAGATCTGAACCAAATATTTTCAAAACAGGATTCTTTGAACAGGAAAATTTTGAAAAATTTTGAACAAAATCAATTAGTAATAACCAAAACATTAACCTCTACCACGAAGAATAAATAACAATTGAATGGAGAATAATTAGAGTTGCAGCTGGGTGCTCATGGACGTATATCCTCATTCTGAGAATAAAATATTTTCCCGTAGATTTACTTCCTTCTATAACTCTATTAACCTTATTTAACATTATGAACCTCTCCAGGGAAACGATTTACTGAGATTTCAAACATTTTTTTTTTCTTTATGTGCTAAATAGGACAAAGGATTTGGGAGATAATCTGTTCTTATCAAGATGATCACGAGTCTCTCCTCTTTTACTAAAACAGAAGGCTTAAATGTTGTCAGCTATGAAACGCAGAGCGGTCCATTACCAAGTACACCTCTTTAATCATTTACTGATCTGTCAGGGATTCTACAGTTTACCATTTGCAAACAAAGGAAAAGTCTCATCCTTTTCCCATAACTTTGTAACCCAGTTTTAAGCTAATAAAGTTTGACAAGGTCTCCGCAATGTACTTTTTAGATGCTAAATAGTTTCACAGCCACAAAAGGTGTTATTTTAAAGTCTGTTTAATTATTAACTTATTAACTGTCAATTATATCAATATAACAAATGAATATAATACTTATAAAGCCTAAACAGATGCAAATGGCTTAGCATATGAGTCAGTGATACTTGAAACAGTAGCAAAAGCTGCTCTCAATGATCTTAAAATGTAAAAATAAAACAAGCTCTATCGCCACATATTCACATTCACCCTATACATAATGCTGGTATAATCACCAGCAACTAAACATGTGCGACACAACAAAATTAACCAAAAACAAATGAATTCAGAATTAGTTGATCCAAAACCCAATTTGTTTCGGAGTCATTCATTTTTATTAGAATAGCAAATTAGGGACAGAACAATTGAAATAAATTGAAATTGCACAATTAAGAAAAGGGCTTTTCGTCTTATATTATATACATTTTTTCTCGCCATTAAATGGTATTTCTAAAGATACCATTATTTTCCTCACATCATATAATTTACTATGAATAAAATTATAAAATATGGATTAAAAATGTAAAAAAAACACACTTTTTCTAACTTTGACCCCAAAGATCTGTTACGCATCTACAACCGCCAAAAAACACCCATAGATTGTAAATTTTGTCCTGAGTTTAGAAATACCCAATACCCAGAAATACCCAATGTTAACATGATCTTAGCTTTTTTTGGAAAGTTATAGGGCTATAAGTACAAGTAGAACTTTGCTATTTCCAAACCATTTTTTTCAAAATGAATGCAAGTTACTTTGTAACACTCAGGGGCGGACTGACCGGTCGGGCACTTCGGACACGGTCCGAGGGCCCGGCCGGGAGGGGGGCCCGCCGCCAGGGCCGCCTTCAGGGGGCCCGGCGGCAGGGCTGGATTGGGGGCGGCATTTGGGGACTGCGGAAGGTGCCACCGGGTGGCCGGCCCGGTGGCACACTGTGAGGGGGGGGCCGGCCGTTTCATGCTGCAGCCGCCGGACCGGGTGGCAGCCTTGCCGGTCCGGCGGCATTCCTCTCACTAACGCTAGAGGAGGAGGAGGAGGAGGAGGAGGAGCATGTGTCTGTCATGCTCCCCGCAAAGGAGCATGACAGACACATGCTCCTCCTCCTCCTTCTTCATCGTTAGTGAGCGGAATGCCGCCGGACCGGCAAGGCTGCCACCCGGTCCGGCGGCTGCAGCATGAAACGGCCGGCCCCCTCTGACTTGAGTAAGGGGGGAACAGAGAGATGGGGAAGGAGGGGGAACAGAGATATGGGAAGAGGGGGGGAAAGAGATATGGGGAGAGGGAGGGGGGAAAAGAGATATGGGGAGAGGGAGGA